TTGTACACCTGTTATAATATGTGACTTATCGTAATGACTCAAATGTACTTTCCCGCGATAAAATGAAACGAAATAAAAATAACTATGGTAGGTAGCATACTACACGCATACAGTATTTTGATAGATACCATTTTATGGTAGGTAGCATATTTGACGAGTTACTAAAAATCCATAGTCACAGTTTTTTTTATAAGCATTTTAAGTTCAAATATTGACAAAATACGTAAAATTCACGAAAATGTGCAAATTATTTTGAGTTAGAAATTCCTAAAATGTTTTCTTTTTAAATCTAAGGTCTGAAAAAGTAATACAAGATTTCTCGTTAGTTTGTCTATCTTTATTAAAAAAAAAATTTCTACAAGAAACTCAAATTAAATTTTTATGAGCGTTTGAAACTCATATTTTTACAATATTTTATATTCACTCGATTTCTCATGAAACTATTTTCTTATTTTATTGTAATTATAAAACGAATGACTGTAGATACTTTAAAATTTCACTGAATGTTTATATTGGCATTTTCTATTCACCATACAATTTTGAAAATAATTTGACTCTTTTTGAGTTGTTTACGGACATTGTCAGTCTTCAATATATTTAGTTTTTTTTTCTATAAATATCAATAACATTTTATTTATTGGGTAAAAAAGCGTGAAAATTTAATGCAAAGCTCCTAATATATTGTTACAAGAGCAGTTGAAAAATATTAAAAATCATAATCACAATTTTTTTTATAAGTATTTAAGATTCAAATTTTGACAAAATTTATCAAATTTAAAATTTAATATAAATTTTGTAGTTAAAAATTTATAAAACGTTCAACTTTTATAGCTAAGGATTGAAAATTTAAAACAAGATTCCACGTAAATAGATTATATATAAATTACTTTATTCACCTTAATATCATCAAATATATACCTACTTCGTAATATCATAGGTTGACTGACCGTTTTCGCTCAGAATCGTTTTTCTTATACAATGATATTATATCGTTGATTTCAAATTTTACACCATCCATTACAGTGACCCACTTGTAACCTACTGTACAGCAGAGCGACATCCACTTGCCCACCTTTTTATAATATTAATTCAACCGGCTACCGTATTAATTATAAGTAATAATATTTAACAATATAAATATAAGATATCCACACTGACAAACTGTCACCTCTCAGAATCGTATTTCGTATACAATGATATTATATCGTTGAATTCAAATTAATACCATCCATTATACAGTGACCCACTTGTAAGATACTGAACAGCAGAGTGACATCCACTTACCCACCTTCTTCGTCATAAAGCGGTTTATAACTTCATAATTTGATTGTTAATGTACCTATGTGATTGTATATATTTGCTGCTAATAATGAATTGGCCATCAAACTAACCATTTTTATATTACCTATATGACCATACCAGACACTGATTAGTGATTACCAAGACCAAGTACCTACCTATTAAAATAACACCCCCCCCCCCCCATAATTTTTGGTGGTTCAGAGAACCACAAAATGCATGATCAAGCGGCTCTGGCGTTAGGTTAGGATAGGTCGGGAAATTAGACTTTAACTAATTATCATAGTTTTTAACACGGTCTTAAAGACTGCCAGCTAGAGTTGTATCAGTATAATTAAAAACATAAGCTCGGCTAACCTTAATTAATGCATTTTTTACCACAAAAAATTATGAAATGTATTTTAAAATAAAATAAAATATTATTTTATTAGGTTTTTTAGTTTTTATAAGGTTTTCAATACTTATAAGTTTTTTTAAATAGAAAATGTATAAAATCAATAGTTTTAATTTAAAATATGATTTTGTGTTTTAATATTTTAGTGTCAAAGAATTTTCAAGTCTTCCTTCCCACTTTTTTTTACATTGTACTAAATCTAATTTTTTCCGCGCATATTTACAAAGACCAAAACAGATACCTATCTGACTATATTTTTATTTATATTAAGACTTTATAGTTTGTAATTTAAAATTGACTGTAGACCCAGCTTAAACACAATATTATTTTTAATTAAACATTATTTTATATTTTTATGTCCTTCATAAATTACAATCACATACAAGAGTCCGTGCGGGACCTCATCCCATTCAGTGGCGTATATAGGGGTTGGGCACAGTGGGCTGCAGCCCATCCATCCCCGAAATTACAGTCTTTTTAAATAGAACAACAATATATTTTCTTAGGTACTATTATAACTTATAACTTATCAGTTATAATGTTTCGTAGCCTGTTGAAAAATAACAAAAAATTATTTCTATATACGCCACTGTTCCCATTTAATTGTTTTGCATCCTTAATAAATTGAATTCATTTTTATACATTTTCTAATATAATATTACGGTGATACACCTCTGATCATAATAACTGTTCGTTTCTTTTAATGTAAACAATACCTAGTTTTTGGATTGTGGTTAAAATGTACTGCAGTATTTAGCTTCCAGCTTCCTCTTTTGTTTAGAATTATTATTTCACCCAGGTTCCTCATACAATTATTTTTTTGAGTCATTTAACTCTAGTAGATTGTTTTGTATAAATATTTTTAAACACTAACCGGCTATACCAGCGAGTAAACTGAGTAGCTGTGTACTTACTATATAATTTACAAACCTGGAGGTTATAGAATGCAGTTTCTAGTTCGTACCTATATATTTTTTAAGTTTTTTTTGTTTTGTAATATGTATTTGAATATCGGCGCCAACACAACCATTCGATTTTTTTGGGGGGAATTTCACTATATTTGAATTTTTCGTATAGACATGAACATTGATAACCTGTAGGTAACCTATGAATAATCTTTCATAAATGAACTAAATATTTTAAATAGTTTTTTTTTTATTAAGATTCTGGACATTTTAGTTTGAACTCCTTATTATGTGGTCCTATTGTATGATTTCTTCTAAATTTTGTTTTTTTGTTTTCTAATATGCATTTGCCTTCGGATTCCAACATTTCCCTTCAATTTTTTGGTAGGAATTTAACTCTACTTGAATTTTTTGTATATACTTGAATATTGATAATCTGCAGGTGCCCTCTGTCTTATCATTTTTAATGAACTAATTATTTTGAATAGTATTTGAAACTCTTTAATGTGTGTTCCTAAATTTTTTTTGTTTTTTTATTCGCTCTTTAAAACTCGTTTTCCTGTGAGTGCCACTTTCCCTTTACAATTTTTTTTCTATAAAATTTTTCAATTTTGTCGAGTTTTTAGACAATATTTAATGTTGAATTTTATCTCATTTTTTTTGATTTATGATATTAATTTGCCTAAAGGCTTCCATGTTCCCCTCCACAATTTTTTTGTTATTTAACTACTGCCAGTCTTTCTATATTTATTTTTTAAACACCGACAACCAGGTGAATGAAGAATGAAAAATGAAAAATTTACACATGCAGCTCTCCGCCAACGCTCCTGACATGAACCAATCTACCGCACGACGACTTCCAGTCATCCAGCACAGCATAGACTTACGTAAGTAGAAAATTCCTTTATATTCCCCCCCTGCTCGACCACGAGGCAAGGTACCTGAGGGATTACCGAGGCCGGGTCACGCACCGGTTGCATAAGGTTACCAATCCGCGAGTATTTTCGCCGACCATGACTCATCGTGGTGGCGTCGGACGCAACAAACGAAAATCAACACCACCTTATCCCACCGATAAGAAGGGTCGTAATCGGGCCTTCTCACCACCATCATTTCCATTAAACTCATGCCTTAAAGACTTATCTACCACATCGAAAAAACGCAAAGCAAGCCAATCTAGCACTGTCTCACCTCCTGAAAATTCAATAACTCTGAATAAGCTGGCCATGGCCACCAATTGTTCATCAATTCCGGACACGGATATTACCACTAACAGCAACAACCGTTCTCGTTCCGTTTCTGTGGATGGATCTGAGTATTCTGATTCTAATGATACCATGTCTACTCCCCCTTCGGACATTGACGAGACAAACAAAAAATCACTTAAAAATGACCCACAATCCGACAATAAACGCTCCACCCGCATGCTACCAATTCTGATCCAAACAACCACTGACCATCCATGGCGGAAAATAGCAAAAGCCATGTACGCAAAAACTCAAGGTCTCGACCAAGTGACCGCAAAAACTACATCGATTCCGTTACAAATCCAAATAAACTGCCCTGAAGAATCCTCATTCAGACTCGTCCAACAATTCATGACCATCAACAAAATCAGCTTCCACACTTTTGCATTACCCAAAGAACAATCTCTCAATATTGTAATTAAAGGTGTTCCACTTGACGTTCCTGACGATGAACTCATGGAAGAACTTCTAGAGGAAGGTTTCAAACCAAATTTTGTCCGAGCTTTTGTAAAAAATGATAAAAGACTTCCAATCCATCCACATGGTCTCCCTAAAACGCACAGAAAATGTGAAAAAAATATTTGAAACCACCGAACTTTTCTACGTCCGAGTAAAAATAGAACCATATAAATCAACGGGTCTCGCCCAATGCTTTTCATGCCAGAGATTTGACCACTCATCACTTCAGTGGGGACACCCACCAAGATGCGTTAAGTGTGGAGCAAACAATTCAAACAAAGAATGCAAGAAACCGAAAGAAGATACCCCAACCTGCTGCAACTGTAATGGAAAACACACCGCAAACTATAGGGGCTGCCCATACTACACAGATATTTACAAAGGAAAAATAGACCACTCCAGAGAAGCAAGAAACAAATCCGTGCTGACAACGATGCCAACACGATACCACTACCCGCAACACACGAAACCACCATAGCATCAAAAATCAAATCTTACGCAAATGTAACAAAACACCTAACAGAAAAGCCCGAACCTACAATAAACGCATCCAAGCTCCTACAAATAATCAAAGACCTCCTTACAACAGCTCAAGAAAGTGAAGACGTCGCATCAAAAAATGCAGTCATCACAACAGTCCTGAGAATCATAAACGCCATTCCTACATCCTATGATGAATGACCTAAAAATCTTATCATGGAACTGCAACGGTATCGGAAACCGAATATCAGAACTGACAGCATTTGTAAAAATTCACAACGTAAATATAATCCTGCTTGGAGAAACCCACCTCGACCCCAAAACTCAGCTCAAAATCCCAAATTTTCATACTTACCATACAGATCGCCAACCACGGCCAAGAACACCTCCAAACGGGGAACCGCAGTGCTTATCCGTCGTGGCATTGTACATCAACCCGTAAATATTCAAACCGAACTCGACTCGACCTCGGTTAATATAAAACTCGAAAACAACATCACCCAGGTAACTGCAGTATACAAAAGCCCAGGCGTTACAGTCAAACCAACAGATTTAGACGCGCTGACCAACCACGATGGTCCTCTCATAATTGGCGGCGACCTAAATGCTAAGCACACAGACTGGCAATGCCCACAACGTAACAAATCAGGCAAGACCCTTGCACAACATGCCGAGCGGGTAAACCGATACTCGGTCGTTGCCTCTGACTCGCCAACTCACTATCCCTACATCGCGGCCCATCGACCAGACATCCTCGATATTTTCCTGCTAGACTTGCCAAACACGCACTACCTCCTAACCAATCACTGCGAATTATCGTCAGACCATAACCCTCAGATGCTAAACCTATCATCCCGACCTTCAGTGTGCGGGCCACCATCAGCAAGGAAACGTATAAATTGTTTTTCTATTTAAGATTCTGGATATTTAGTGTACGAACCCTTCAAATTGGCTTAATATCGTATAATTTTTTCTTAATATTTTTTAGTTTTCTAAAATTCAATTGCCTGCGGGCGCCAACAGGTCCCTTCAATTTTTTTTTTGGAACTTGACTCTAGTTGAATTTTTTGCACAGACTTGTTTATTGATTACCTGCAGGTGCCCTCTGTATTATCATACTTGAATGAGCTAATCATTGGCAATATAGTTTTTTCCGTTTTGGTTTCTGGACATTTTAGTTTGAACTCTTTAATGTGTTTTCCTAATGTATAATTTTTTATAAATAATTTTTTGGTTTTCTGAAATGCAATTGCCTGCGGGCGCTAACACTCCCCTTCAATTTTTTTTTTTTGGAATTTGACTCTAGTTGAATTTTTTGTATAGACTTGAATATTGTTAAGTAGCAGTTGCCCTCTGTATCATCATTCTTGAATGAGCTAATCATTGGCAATATAGTTTTTTCCGTTTTGGATTCTGGACATTTTAATTTGAACTCTATTATGTGTTTTCCTAATGTATAATTTTTTCTAAATTTTTTTTTGGTTTTGTAAAATGCAATTGCCTGCGGGCGCTAACAATCCCCTTCAATTTTTTTTTTGGAGTTTGACTCTAGTTGAATTTTATGCACAGACTTGTTTATTGATAACCTGCAGGTGCCCTCTGTATCATCATTCTTGAATGAGCTAATCATTGGCAATATAGTTTTTTCCGTTTTGGATTCTGGTCATTTTAATTTGAACTCTATTATGTGTTTTCCTAATGTATAATTTTTTCTTAATTTTTTTTTGGTTTTGTAAAATGCAATTGCCTGCGGGCGCTAACACTCCCCTTCAATTTTTTTTTTTGGAATTTGACTCTAGTTGAATTTTTTGTATAGACTTGAATATTGTTAAGAAGCAGTTGCCCTCTGTATCATCATACTTGAATGAGTTAATCATTGGCAATATAGTTTTTTTCCGTTTTGGTTTCTGGACATTCTAGTTTGAACTCTTTTATGTGTTTTCCTAATGTATAATTTTTTCTAAATTTTTTTTTGGTTTTCTAAAATGCAATTGCCTGCGGGCGCTAACACTCCCCTTCAATTTTTTTTTTGGAGTTTGACTCTAGTTGAATTTTATGCACAGACTTGTTTATTGATAACCTGCAGGTGCCCTCTGTATAATCATTCTTGAATGAGCTAATCATTGGCAATATAGTTTTTTCCGTTTTGGATTCTGGTCATTTTAATTTGAACTCTATTATGTGTTTTCCTAATGTATAATTTTTTCTAAATTTTTTTTTGGTTTTGTAAAATGCAATTGCCTGCGGGCGCTAACACTCCCCTTCAATTTTTTTTTTGGAATTTGACTCTAGTTGAATTTTTTGTATAGACTTGAATATTGTTAACAAGCAGGTGCCCTCTGTATCATCATAATTGAATGAGTTAATCATTGGCAATATAGTTTTTTCCGTTTTGGTTTCTGGACATTTTAGTTTAAACTCTTTTATGTGTTTTCCTAATGTATAATTTTTTCTAAATTTTTTTTTGGTTTTCTAAAATGCAATTGCCTGCGGGCGCTAACACTCCCCTTCAATTTTTTTTTTGGAATTTGACTCTAGTTGAATTTTTTGTATAGACTTGAATATTGTTAACAAGCAGGTGCCCTCTGTATCATGATTCTTGAATAAGCTAATCATTGGCAATATAGTTTTTTCCGTTTTGGTTTCTGGACATTCTAGTTTGAACTCTTTTATGTGTTTTCCTAATGTATAATTTTTTCTAAATTTTTTTTTGGTTTTGTAAAATGCAATTGCCTGCGGGCGCTAACACTCCCCTTCAATTTTTTTTTTGGAATTTGACTCTAGTTGAATTTTTTGTATAGACTTGAATATTGTTAAGAAGCAGTTTCCCTCTGTATCATCATACTTGAATGAGCTAATCATTGGCAATATAGTTTTTTCCGTTTTGGTTTCTGGACATTTTAGTTTGAACTCTTTAATGTGTTTTCCTAATGTATAATTTTTTCTAAATTTTTTTTTGGTTTTGTAAAATGCAATTGCCTGCGGGCGCTAACACTCCCCTTCAATTTTTTTTTTTGGAATTTGACTAGTTGAATTTTTTGTATAGACTTGAATATTGTTAAGAAGCAGTTGCCCTCTGTATCATCATACTTGAATGAGTTAATCATTGGCAATATAGTTTTTTCCGTTTTGGTTTCTGGACATTTTAGTTTGAACTCTTTTATGTGTTTTCCTAATGTATAATTTTTTCTAAATTTTTTTTTGGTTTTGTAAAATGCAATTGCCTGCGGGCGCTAACACTCCCCTTCAATTTTTTTTTTGGAATTTGACTCTAGTTGAATTTTTGTATAGACTTGAATATTGTTAAGAAGCAGTTGCCCTCTGTATCATCATACTTGAATGAGTTAATCATTGGCAATATAGTTTTTTCCGTTTTGGTTTCTGGACATTTTAGTTTGAACTCTTTTATGTGTTTTCCTAATGTATAATTTTTTCTTAATTTTTTTTTGGTTTTGTAAAATGCAATTGCCTGCGGGCGCCAACAGGCCCCTTCAATTTTTTTTTTGGAACTTGACGCTAGTTGAATTTTTTGCACAGACTTGTTTATTGATTACCTGCAGGTGCCCTCTGTATTATCATTCTTTAATGAGGTAATCATCGTCAGTGGTTTTTCTATTTAAGATTCTGGACATTTAGTGTACGAACCCTTTAATGTGGCTTAATATCGTATAACTTTTTCTTAATATTTTTTAGTTTTCTAAAATGTAATTGCCTGCGGGCGCTAACACTCCCCTTCAATTTTTTTTTTTGGAATTTGACTCTAGTTGAATTTTTTGTATTGACTTGAATATTGTTAAGTAGCAGTTGCCCTCTGTATCATCATACTTGAATGAGTTAATCATTGGCAATATAGTTTTTTCCGTTTTGGTTTCTGGACATTTTAGTTTGAACTCTTTTATGTGTTTTCCTAATGTATAATTTTTTCTAAATTTTTTTTTGGTTTTGTAAAATGCAATTGCCTGCGGGCGCTAACACTCCCCTTCATTTTTTTTTTGGAATTTGACTCTAGTTGAATTTTTTGTATAGACTTGAATATTGTTAACAAGCTGGTGCCCTCTGTATCATGATTCTTGAATGAGCTAATCATTGGCAATATAGTTTTTTCCGTTTTGGTTTCTGGACATTCTAGTTTGAACTCTTTTATGTGTTTTCCTAATGTATAATTTTTTCTAAATTTTTTTTTGGTTTTGTAAAATGCAATTGCCTGCGGGCGCTAACACTCCCCTTCAATTTTTTTTTTGGAATTTGACTCTACGTGAATTTTTTGTATAGACTTGAATATTGTTAAGAAGCAGTTGCCCTCTGTATCATCATACTTGAATGAGCTAATCATTGGCAATATAGTTTTTTTCCGTTTTGGTTTCTGGACATTTTAGTTTGAACTCTTTTATGTGTTTTCCTAATGTATAATTTTTTCTAAATTTTTTTTTGGTTTTGTAAAATGCAATTGCCGGCGGGCGCTAACACTCCCCTTCAATTTTTTTTTTTGGAATTTGACTCTAGTTGAATTTTTTGTATAGACTTGAATATTGTTAAGAAGCAGTTGCCCTCTGTATCATCATACTTGAATGAGCTAATCATTGGCAATATAGTTTTTTTCCGTTTTGGTTTCTGGTCATTTTTAGTTGAACTCTATTATGTGTTTACTCATGTATAATTTTTCTAAATTTTTTTTGGTTTGTAAAATGCACTTGCCTGCGGGCGCTAACACTCCCCTTCAATTTTTTTTTGGAATTTGACTCTAGTTGAATTTTTTGTATAGACGTGAATATCGTTAAGAAGCAGTTTGCCCTCCGTAGCATCATACTACTTAAATGAGTTAATCATTGGCAATATAGTTTTTTTCCGTTTTGGGATTCTGGACTTCTAGTTTGAACTCTTTGATGTAGTTCCTAATGTATAATTTGTTCTCTAAATTTTTTTTGGTTTTGTAAATGCAAATTGCCTGCTGTGCTAACACTCCCCTTCAATTTGTTTTTTGGATTTGACTCTATTGAATTTTTTGTATAAGACTTGATATTGTGAACAGCATTTGCCCTCTGTATCATCATTCTTGAATGACTAATCAAGGGCAGATAGTTTTTTCCGTTTTGGATTCTGGTACATTTTAGTTTGAACTCTTTTATGTGTTTTCCTAATGTATAATTTTTTCTAAATATTTTTTTGGTTTTCTGTAAAATGCAATTGCCTGCGGCGCTAACACTCCCTTCAATTTTTTTTTTTTGGCATTTGACTCTAGTTGAATTTTTTTGTATTGACTTGAATATTGTTAAGTAGCAGTTGGCCCTCTGTATCATCATCTTGAATGAGTAATCATTGGCAATATAGTTTTTTCCGTTTTGGATTCTGGACATTTTATTTGAACTCTTTAATGTGTTTTCCTAATGTATAATTTTTTCTAAATTTTTTTTTGGTTTTGTAAAATGCAATTGCCTGCGGGCGCTAACACTCCCCTTCAATTTTTTTTTTTGGAATTTGACTCTAGGTGAATTTTTTGTATAGACTTGAATATTGTTAAGAAGCAGTTGCCCTCTGTATCATCATTCTTGAATGAGCTAATCATTGGCAATATAGTTTTTTCCGTTTTGGTTTCTGGACATTTTAGTTTGAACTCTTTAATGTGTTTTCCTAATGTATAATTTTTTCTAAATTTTTTTTTGGTTTTGTAAAATGCAATTGCCTGCGGGCGCTAACACTCCCCTTCAATTTTTTTTTTTGGAATTTGACTCTACGTGAATTTTTTGTATAGACTTGAATATTGTTAAGAAGCAGTTGCCCTCTGTATCATCATACTTGAATGAGTTAATCATTGGCAATATAGTTTTTTCCGTTTTGGTTTCTGGACTATTTAGTTTGAACTCTTTTATGTGTTTTCCTAATGTATAATTTTTTCTTAATTTTTTTTTGGTTTTGTA